CTCCTGCTTTTTATACAGCGCCTCATCCGCAGTTTTGTAAGATGGAGGCAATCCATCAAAGTTGTTGTATGCACCTTTCCACTTGTTTACGATTGCTGTGCAGTCGACGGCTTCTGGGTTATCAACAACGTGGTACGCGTACGTGCCGCTCTGGAACTCAGCTTGCTCTGCAGAGCCTGCAGTACCTCCTGATTTCTCCGTGGTCTGAAAAAGCAAGAGAGAGAATGCGGAAACACCGAGATATGTTGCGCAGCCAGTGAATATGCTCTGTAGGGTTGTTAGGTGAGCAAACAACTTACTGGAATCAACGACTTGCACACCGGCTTCCAGGCCCAATCATCATCTGATTCCTTTTTAGAAGTGACCTCTGCTGGCAGGCGTTTTTCAGTATCAGCTGTTCCTGCTTGTATCAGCTGGCTGAACCCAACTGCCTGGCGAGCAGCGTTGACCGCGGCGAGGCATTCGCCATCTTTACCTGTGACAAAGAAAGTAAATTATCTCGAGCAAGTGAAGAATGTTTTGCAATGTAGAAGTTTCATACTGCAACGTTTGGATGCGCGCTCATGACGCCAAGTGTAGTGCATAGGCACTACAATGGACCTCATGCGTAGGCTCTGGAGACCTAGGATCACATAAGTTTTGACGGTGAAAACTTACCCAGGGTTACGGTATACGTTGGCCCTGTTTCTGTCTCCTGGGCGGTGGTGAGAGCGAGGAACGAGGCACCGATGACTGCGAGCAGCGTGAGAGGTGACATCGTCATCAACTGGTGGTGAAATAGCCAAATAAGAAGCTCAGAGGAAACCTAAAACTCATTCGTTTGTATAAATTATATTGAAACAGTATTAAACACAACACCTTCATACTTTGCTTCGGCGGCGTTTCGGCTCTCGTGCTGGGGTTGTTGCTCGTCGGCGGTGCTCGTGCTGGTGCTGGGCCGGCCGGGCAGCTGTGTTCTTGCCTGGCAACGTCCCACGACCGTTGAGAAAGGAAACTGAAATATAAATGCTGTTAAAATTATTAAATTAAAAATAAATTAATTAAAATAAAATAAATTAATTAAAATTATTTCTAAAACTAAAACATTCAAGACGAAGATATTATACATTAATACTGAAACAATTAGCTCACGGAATCCTCCTGATGCCTGCCTGCGTCTAATACACACCTCCCTCCGTCACAGTCATCGACTTGCAGGTTCATCAGTGGAGAAATTAGCACCAACTTGTGATTAAAATTATTTATAAATATATTATAAAAGAGTGAATTCTTCTTAACTCTTTTTTTTTCCTGCACTGACGGGTCAGCTCGCGATAGAATAAAACACCCGCCCGTTGCTTGGATCAACAGAAACTCGTTCAACAGTACTGTGCTCACACTGCCTTGACCGTGGCATTCTATAGGTGATATGGCATCTATAATAAAACTTAATTATATAGTATAATATAACTATTTCTTTCCCAATACAAACAAAACAAAAGCTGTATACTACGAACTCGTGCCCTCTTTGCCTCGCCAGCTCAGCACGCGAGACAGGCTGTAGTGTAGTACACTGGCACTACAATACAGAACCGAAGACAACTAGTGGAAAAAAAAGACGGAAACTTTATAATTACGTGCAGAAATGGGAATTATATTAGTTTAATTGTACAGTAAAATTAATTAGTTAAGAAAGCTGACTCCCCTTCAGGGGCGGAGCCATCAATGTAATAGTCCTAACCACGGCTAGACATCAAGGGGGTAGGGGATCTACGAGACTAGCGATAGAATACGGCCTTTACTTTAATTTATTGAATAAATATTAGATGAAAATTTGCTACATTCGTCCACGAAACTTCTACCCCGGTGCCTTCTAGCCCCCTGCGTGGGCGGACGGTCACACAGGATGCAGCTCTCATACTTAATGGCCCCGCCTACCCCATCGCGGCTACAACTTAATAAATATTACTCTACAGTTAGATTATTATAATTATAATTCCCGTTCTCGCACGTAGTTATGGGTTTACTACTCGTCTTCGCTTCGGTACTGTAGTGCCAGTGCAATACACAGAGCCATTATGTATGAGGGTCAGCGACGGCGCCAGCCCCCTTGCTGTTCTAGTAGGGCCCACGAAAGGGCTATCTCAGAATATCTTTGGGAGAATTTAAATAATTTTTCCTTTAATATTTGTATTTTTCCATTAAATTATCTTAACGCTGCTTTCTATCGCTTGCGTTGTAGTTCTGCTCCCCTTTAGTGGTAGTATACTGTGGCTAGGACTTGGCTGCATCAGTGGGCCTTGTGCTCAGGCCGCCTCAGAGGGCGGGGAGATCATAAAGTTTTCGTTTGTTTTAGTTTGTGTTTTTTTTTTAATTATTTTTAAATATATTTACTTATTATATATTTATTTATTATATATAGTAGAGAAGCTCGCTGGTGCGGCGGCTTGGTGGTGGTGGGTGGGTGCACAGACGCGAGCAGGGGGGCCA